AATTCTATACATTTGTACACCAAATACAAGGACATCCAAGTTCACTTTTTTAAAAAAACAATATTATAGCTAAAATTACACATTGACCCTCATACAGTGATAATGGGTGACTTCAACACCCCGTTCTTGCTGATAGGCAGGATATCCAGACAATCACTACAAATTAAAAATGCTACAACTGAATGACATCATAAAACACATGGACCTAGCAGATATTTATATACTATTTCAGCACAAACCAAAAGAATACAACTTCTTCTCAGAAGCTCATGGAACATTCTCCAAACTGACCACATACTTGGACACAGAACAAGTCTCAACAGATACAAGAAATTTGAAACAACGCCCTGCATGCTGTCTGAGAACAACAGAGAGCCTACAGACTCATGGACACGGAATAACTCACTAGTGAATTCAAAATTAATCAAGATGTAAGTTAAGAAAGAAATTAAAAACTGTTTAGAATTGAATAATAAAAAATGAAACAGAACCAAACTTATGAGACACAATGAAGGTGGTTCTAAGAGGCAAGTTCATAGTACTAAGTGTGTGCATTTAAAAAACAGAGAGAGCTTATATTAGTAACTTAACAACACTCCTGAAAGCTGCAGAACAAAAAGAAGACTACCATACACAAAAGGAGTATATAGCAGGAAATAATCAAACTCATGACTGAAATCCATAAAATAGAAAAAATACAGAGAATCCATGAAATACAATTAGTTCATTGAGAAAATTAGTAATATAGACAAACTTAGCTAAATAAGCCAAAAGACACTCAGAGAAGATCCAAATTAATAAGGTTAATAGTAAAGCAGGGCATAACAACAGACATCCAATAACTAGAGTGATGTGGAAGGTCCTTTTGTCTATGTGTTGTTTTTCTTGGTTAATGAATAAAGAAACTGGCTTGGCCTGATAGGGCAGAGTAGAGTTAGGTGGGGAAAGCTAAACTGAATGCTGGGAGAAAGAAGGCAGAGTCAATGAGAAGCCATGTAGCCCCACTGAAGACAGACGCCAGAATTTTACTCAGTAAGCCACAGCCTCGTGGTGATACACAGATTAATGAAAATGAATTCTTAATTATTGGCCAAAGAGTATTGCAAATAATATGGTTTCTGTGTGGTTATTTTGGGGCTGAGCAGCTGGGAACCAAGAAGCTGCTTCCTAGAACAGTAGAGTGTCCATAATCCAGAGTACCCAGAGAAATCCATAAGAACATACTTTAAAAACGTGTATGATGACATAAGTCACAAAACAATCCCACACCAGTTCAGAATTATGAATAGTAAAAGGTTTATTTGCTTAAGGGGAAAACTTACGGATCACTGTCCTAGACAACAATCCTCTGCACAAACAGGAACCAAATCTAGCAGCCAGAAGCAGGAGCCAGAAGCAAGAGAGTAGCGCATTGTTACCACTGCTTTTATGGCATAAGAAACCATGCCCAAGTGGGCTGGTATCTTAAAAGCTATTGGCTAAAAGCATAATATACTCCCACGACAGTTGTACTCCACCAAATTAGAAAATCTAAAAGAAATGGATAATTTTCTCTATAATTTTCTGAGCTTACACCCGAAGGACTCTACATCCTACCACAGAGAGTCTTGCTCAACCATATTCACTGGTTCTCTATTCATATAGCCAGAAGTTGGGATTTGATTGGATTTAGGGCCCATTCCATGAGATGGAGCCTATCCTCAATCCTGTTCAGATGGCCACATCTGAGAGTAGACAGGAAGTTAGGGGAAAATAAACAAAACTTTCTACTCAAGGCATGCAGCAGTAAAATAATTCTCAACATTTGACTCTATTCATCGATTAGTGTCCTTATCATCCATCACCAGAGAAGCGGCCTTCTTGTAGATGAGGACAAACAGAGAGACCTAGACAATGCGCAAAGACATTAAAACACTCATTCCTGGGTGGGATATCGCCAACAAACCCCTCCATGTAAGAGTTCAGGGAACCCTGAAAAAGAGCAGGCAGAAAACATGAAATAGCCAGAGGGACTGGAGGACCAAGGAAGCAAGGCCTCCCAAACACAGCAGCAGCTATGCACATAGAAATGCTCAGAGATTGGGGCAGCATTGCCCGTGGCCTGTATGGGTCTGGGCCAGGTGGAGTCCCAGTGCTGAGACGGTAAGCAGACACAAGCCCCTACCCCAGCCCAAAAGCTGTCTCCAGGTAATAACCTCTTGCAAATGAAAAATTATTTTCTCCAGCAGAGTCCCACTTGATATACAGACTTCTCTTAAGGACAGAGCTCAGGCCCAGCAGTAGACGCTCAATACAAATTGAACTCAATTTTGGTGATTGTGGAGGTTCTTCTTTCACAATACTTTGTTTGGTATTCATCTCACCATACTTTGTTGAAGGTCTTGTGTGTGTATGGTTTCTGGTTTCTTGTTTTTATGAGATTTCTCTGTGTGCAAATGTGTGTGTGTGTGTGTGTATACACGTACACATCTATATTTGTTTCTTTTGATTTTTCTTTGGCTCTTTTTCTTCTGTTTTCTTTTGTCCTACTCTGGTTTGTTTTGTTCTCATCTTATTTTAATATTATTTTTTAGATATCTATGTTTTATAAGGAGACAGAAAATGAAACAGTGTGGATTTGGATGTGAGGGGAGGTAGGGAGGATCTGGGAGGAGTTGGTGAAGGTAAACACTAATCAGAATATACTGCATGAAAATTGATCTTTCTATTGAAAATGTTTTTTCATACAATATATTCTGATTATGAGTATGATTGCCCCTCCCCCAATGCTCCCTTGGTCCTTTCTACCACCTCAGGTACCCAAATCTGCTTTATTTCTTGCTTTTTCATTAGAAAACAAGCAGGCAACTAAAAATAGATAGATAGATAGATAGATAGATAGATAGATAGATAGATAGATAGATAGATATGATAGAGAGAGAAACAGACAGAAAGACAGAGACAGAGAGAGAGACAAGGAAACAAGATATGATAAAATAAGCACCAAAATCTGAAGAGGACAAGACAAACAAATGAACAGGAAAACAAAAAGTCCAAGAAAAAGCACAAGAAACACATAGATGTAGACACACACCTTGGCGCTTGTGTATCTCCTAAAAACACAAAATTAGAAACCATAATATAAGCAAAAGACATGTAGGGTAGAAAAAAAAGAGGAAAAAAAAGAATTTTATTTATTTATTTATTTATTTATTTATTTATTTATTTTTAGGTAGGGTTTCTCTGTAGCTTGGAGCCTGTCCTGGAACTAGCTCTTGTAGACCAGGCTGGCCTCAAACTCACAGAGGTCTGCCTGCCGCTGCCTCCTGGGAGCTGAGATTAAAGGCATGAGCCAGCACCACCTGACGAAAGCACTTAAAAAACAAAACAAAACAAAACAAAACAAAACAAAAAAAACAGACAAAGCATTATAAGGCAAAACAAACAAGCCATCAAAAACAGACAAAACCTCCAAAGACACCATCAATTTTGTTTGTGTTGACCTTCTACTTCTAGATGGGACCTGGCCTTAACAGTGGTTTGTATATACAGTGATAAACCTTTAGGAAAACTAAACTTCCACTTCTGAGTAGTTAATGACGGACAACAGCATCTGGGTTTGGGGTGGAGACTTGTGCCCACCTCTCGCAGCACTGGTACCCCAATCTGGCTTGGGCTGCTGGCAGGGTGCGTGCTGCCAGTCTCTCTGAGTCACGGGCGACTGGTTCTGCTGTTTTAGAAGGCCTTCTTTCCTTGGTGTTCTTCGTGCCCTTTGACTCTTACACTCTTTCTGCCTCCCTGTCCGGTATTCCCTGAGCTGTGAGAACACAGAACTCACTGGTGGAGACACCCCTCACCGTATTTATTCCCATCTACTGCAGAAGGAAATTCCTCTGAGCAAGACTCTGATCTATGATAGCAGAATGCCGTCAGGAGTCACTTTATTGCAACATTTCTTTTGTGTTTGGTTTTCCTCTAGGTCCAAGGCCTATCTCCTCTCAAGTCCTTGACCACTGGAGCAGTATTGGGGATAGGTTCCATAGAAGAAAAAAAAATAGGGGAAAAATACTTGACATAAACACTTTTATACAATAACTGGTACCTACACCACTCAGACAAATGGGAAAGTCAGTTAACTAAAAACATGGCAAGCGATTCAAGAGAACGCTATTCAACAAGACATACAAGCAAACTGTTCACTTGTGTCACCTAAAAATATTATACCCAGCAAAAGAAGCTGAAGAAACACACACAAATCTAAAAAAAAAAAAAAATGTTCCTATGAAATGCCCAGTGAAAGCAAATCAATAGAAAGAAAGTAGATAGTAGATTAGTATTTACCTGGAGTTGGGAAAGGGCAGTGGTAAAAAGATAATAGAACTCATTTGAGAATGAGAAAAATATTCCCAGACTTGGATGTGCTCATAGTGTACAACTCTGTAAACTTTGAGACAACTACAAGTTCCCTGTAAAACAACTGAATTCATGGCATGCAAATTATAACAGAGCTGGGAGGAGGGGAGGCAAAGGAGACGGGAGTGAATGAGAAAGGGGAAAGGGGGGACTAGAATGTGGCGAACAGGAAGCCGCTCTGAAGCCGAAGGACTTCGTCCAGTAATCACTGTGTATAATCCAATGCGCTTGACTCATTAGACCACACTATGAGACTCTCCACGTTTTGGGAAAATGAACAAGTTTTGCGCCAACCTAAGAAAGCTCACGGGCTGCAAAGGGTGGAAAAGAATCTTTCCTTTCATCTATTTTTGTAAAAGTAGCAGAAGCTATAAACATCTTCGTTTTCCTGGGTTGGTAATTTTATCCCTTGTGACCTGTCTTTAGCCTCAGAGAAGGAAGTCACTTGGTTCAAGCCGCGGGGACTGAGTGGTGCTCTTCACCATCAAGCAGCACGCCCCCACCCCTCACCCCCACCCCCGCCCCATCCCACATCTCCCTCACCTGCTCCTGGCACTTATCTTGCCTCACACTGGCAAGAGAGGACAGGAGAATTAATTGTTGGAACCGTGACCGGACACAGCAGGCCAACGCAAAGGCCCAGGAGTCATTTATTCGTTTGATAGCACTTCTTCGGAGCTGACAGACAACCCTTCATTCTGAAATCATTCTCAGGCCGCCAGTGTACTCTGACACAAAAATGGACCCGACTGGGAGGAGGCCAGGCTCGTCCCCCACACTCATACACGCTGTCCCAGGGACAAACCCGGGGCTGTGTGGGTGCTTTGCTTCCTGGGAGGGCGAACGATGCAGAACACTGCCAAGATGCTCCTGCCTGCAACACACAAGGCAAACAAGAGGTCAGCACCAGCCCAATCTGTTGTTAATCAACCAGCGAGAAATGAGGTACGAATAACATCAGTGTCCTTGAAGTTAAAAATACACACAGTTTAATACCCGATGCATTATAGGACTGTAACAGAGGAATCCCTTTTCTACTGTGGCTATGACATATGGCTACCTTGTTTTTAGATGCTCAGGGAGGAGTTAAAGGCGGTGCCTCAACTACAGAATGTAGTGGCATACCCATGTATATTTATTTATATTATCCAAAGCAAGATGAACAGGACACTATGAAAAAAAAAATGATGGGGTGACTATGATACTCACGGTTGTTAACTTGACTACATATGGAATTAACTCAAACCCAAATGGCTGGTTATAGCTGTGAGGATTTTTGTGGTTGTCGTTGAATCGTTTGAGGTGGGAAAATCCACCTTAAATCTGGACCACACGTCCTATATGAAGGACAAGGAAGAAGGAAGCTCTTGCTCTTTGCCTGCTTGCCCTCACTCCTGCTGGCAAGCCCATTCCGTCGCTGGTGTCAGAGCCTACGTCTTCGGGGTTCCAGCATATACTGAAGACCAGCCGAGTCATCCGGGCTCATGGGCTGAGTGACTGCTGGAGTCTTGGGCTTTCCATGGGCCGCCTGCCAATGTTGGAATATTCGGACCATAACTTCTAAACCCCTCCACTCTATCCCGCTTTTCCGTACACATAGATTCATTGTATCGGTTCTGATTCTCTAGAGAACCCCAGCTAATACAGAGATAAATACAGCACTTGTTTCTGCTAGCGCAGAGCACCTCTGGAAAACAGTACACAGGAATAAACGGCAGCGGTTGTCTCAGTGGTGGCGGCAGGAGAAAGCTCACACTGTGCCCACTCATCCTCCTCATCCTCTTTCTCTCCCACCTCCATCTGTTTCTGCAGACACTAATAGCTATTTTTAACATGGTTTTCTAGCTGTTTTCTGTGGCTCCTATCCTGGTTTTCAAAATGAACTTCTGCTTAGTAGAAAGTAAAGAAACCACCTCTAGACACGGTTTTGTTTTATGGCCACTTCCTTGTGTGCCATTTGACTTGACATTAGGTTTTACTCTCTTTTCTGTCATTTCAGAGAACAACCCTCCACCTCCTCTTTTTTTGGGCACTTTTGAAAGATGCTTCTATTTTCTGTAGCCCTAAAAGAAAGCTCCACTTATCCTTTAAGTCTTTGGCTGCCATTCCCTTCCCTTTTCCTTTATAGTCTTTTCTTAAAGTGGATCATATTTTTCCTCTCTGATTCATCATTAACCATTAATGTTCCACCATGCTGGGCTATATTCTCCTGTAGCGGCATCTTGGGAGCCCACCATATAGAGATCCTTTATTAATAAAGCCTGATGAGTATGTTTCCCATATTTATATTATTTGACTTCTAACATGCCAGGGAGTCACCTTTCCTGATGCTTTTTTCTCTGTGTCCCTGAAGTCTTCTGTAACATGGGGGCCAGCTTGTTAGGGTTTCTGTCCTGCCCGGTACCCCACAGCCGGCAATTCACAAAGAAAATAACACAGAGTTTACATTAGGTTATAAACTGATTGGCCCATTAGCTCAAGCTTCTTGTTAACCCTTGTAACTTATATTAACCCATTATTATTATCTATGTTAGCTGCACAGCTCAGTACCTTTCTTGCGTGGCAGCTCACATGTTGCTTCTTCAGTGATCTGGACAGGAATGGTGGAGGAAGCTTCCTCCTCCCTAGCCTTCTCCTATTCTCATTGCCCTGCCTCTACTTCCTGTCTGGTTGACCCACCTATACTTCCTGCTGGACAATCAGCATTTTATTAAAATACATGATTGACAGAATACAGAAAATTCTCCTGCACCATATCCCTCTTTTTTTTTAAACAAAGGAAAATACCCATAGTCCATTTTTTGGAAATGTGAGCGTAATATTTCAGGCTACTTCCTGCTGGTTGGGGGCGCTGATGATCTTATGGGGACCTAAAGAAAATTTAGAGTTATAATCAAGTTCTGACTGGAGTATCTTGTGAGTCTCGATCATCTCAGGCAGCAGTCTTGAACTTGTTCTGGATGTAGAGCTCAGACATTTGGGCCATCTGTTCCTACTGGAGATTTCTCAGGTGGTCTTCCTTGATTGAACCTGATTTTTTTAAATTCAGAATGAATCCACAGCCTCACATTTCCTGTGGAAACAAAAGCAAAATCTATTCTCCAAAGTAACATACCTTTTGACTTCAGCTTTGAAGCCAAGGTATTTTCAAAATACCTCTCTTGGGTTAGTTCAGCAGTATTTATAAACAAAAGTCTTTTAGCAGCTGTTTCTCCTTCCTCAGCATTCAAACAATTCAAAGAGAGCATAATAACATACAGTATCAAGATTCTCTGTGTATTTTCCATCTTTATGTGGCTTTATTTCAACATCTATTTCTTTTATTTTTATTTTTAAATTTTGGCTTTTTGAGACAGGTTCTTTGTATATATCTTTGCCCTGGAATAACTCTGTAGACCAGGCTGTCCTTGAATTTACAGAGCTCCTTCAGTCTCTGCCTCCCCAGTGCTGGGATTAAAGGCATGTGCTACCACACCTTGAATTCACAGAGATCTGTCTGTCTCTGCCTCCCAGGCATTGGGATTAAAGGTGTGGACCACCACACCCTACTTCTCTCTTTCTTTTTTATTTTTAATGACTTTAACCTTTAGCCTGCATATATTTTTTAACACACTGTAAACCATTTAGAGGTCTTCTTCATCTTTGAATCTCTCTTTACTGTATATCTCTCTTTTTCTAATCACATGAATCTCTATGGAAAGGATAAAGCTGTGGCTTTGATGGCTAGATCCAGCCTATTCCTTAGCTTTCTAGCCTCATGGCAGAGGTACTGCTGGAGCCATTTTTATTGCCACAACTCTGTGGTGTTTCAAGGTCCCTGCCAGCAAGCAAGCTGCAGCATTCTGCTCACAGACCACACTCAGTCAGACTGCCTGCCTCAAAGAGTCAGAGATTTGCCCTGGCAGGACAGCCCAGAAAGCCAGCATTTTAAAACAGTGCAGCTTTTTTTCCTGCTATGGCTAGCTTCCCTCGTGGAAACCTGTGAATGCCTCTATTACATAGTTATCCATAAACGTGAACAGGATGATTCTCTCGATTCAATATCAATATTAATAGAATACAAACTCAGTCATTGTGGTCTCAGTATTCAGTGCCTAAGACAAAGATTTAATCAGTAAATATTGAATATGTGAAAGGTGAGTGAGGGGAAATTTTCTTCTGCAGCCTTGGGTTTCAGTACAACCTGTAGTAGAAAACATGCATTGTCTCTATTGCCATAACCACTACTTCCTTTCTCCTTGCCACAGAACTTGAAATTGGTTAGAAACCTGTGTTTCCCAGCCTCATTTATGTCATGCAATCATGCTCAGAGCAATTAGATGAAGAGGAAATATCATGTGTGCCCACAGAATATATTTGGGGCTGCGGGGATTCTTCCACTCTGTTGTTACCTCTACTGTGTAGTAGGTGGCTACGGCAACATCACCCCTCATGACTATGACATCACCCTCATGATTATGGCATTACTCTTCATGACTATGATATCACTCCTCATGACTATGACATCACCCTCATGATTATGGCATTACTCTTCATGACTATGACATCACTCTTCATGACTATGACATCATTCCTCATGATTATGACATCACCCTCATGAATATGGCATCGCCTCATGACTAAGATATTATCCTTTCGTGATTATGGCATCACCTCCTCATGACTGTGACATCATCCCCTCATGACTATGTGGACAGATAGGGTAGTGAGGCAGGTGGTTATTTGTAGGGTTCTGTAGCTAGAATACTTGTGCCCTTCCAAATTCATATTGAAATTTACTTGTCCTAACTTATTAAGAAGCAAGCCCTTTAAAAGGTCATGAGGGTTCTGTTCTTATAAATGGCTTAATGATACTATGAAGGATGAGAATTCATGATCAGGAGAGTGGGTTCCACTGCTGTAAAAAAAATGAGTACAGCCCCCTTTCTGTTTCAGCCTCTTTGGCCTTCTGCTTAGGATAGTGCAAGAAGAATCTGACTACATGCCAGTTCCTCAGTCCTAGACTCCCCGACTTCCATGAGGGCCTACAAATTTCTTCTGTTCATTATAAATTACACACTCTGTAGTAATATGTTATAGGAACATAAAACAGATGAAGGCTCAGGATTACCACACCGGCCTACACCAAATCTCTCCTCCTAAAATATGAAGCCATAGGCCCTGGAGCTGTTTAGATGGATAGATGGATCTCTCTCTCTCTGTGTGTGTGTGGGTGTGTGTGTCTCTCTCTCTCTCAATCTGTGTGTGTGTTTGTCTGTCTATCTGCCTGTCTCTCTTGCAGCTAGACTTCATCCCAACTTACACACACGTTAATATAAATATACTTAGCATAGCTTGGTTCAGCTAAGCGCTCAAGAGGTGAGCCTTTGGTTTTTCAATTCACTTATACAGAGATGAAGGGTATCTCTCTAAATTAGGAAAAAAAATCACAAAAGTTAGACAATCAATAGCATGTTTCACACCCAGGGCTGGCTGACTTGGTCCCTAGTAACAGATTTTTGTGGTGAGAAATATGAAAATCTGGGGGGCTAAAGACATCTGGCTGTTGTTCAGAAGCCCCCTCTCTTTTGAGAATAAAAGCTGTTTAATCCTCCTTAGAAGTGATTGGATTAATCAGTTTCGTCTTTTAAAAATAAATCATAAACTGGAGTTTTGGAAGCTGATACTTCTAGGAGCAAGCAGAATTCAATCACAAGGCCAGATATTTCAGCACGACAGGAGCGTGTTCCTAGCCAGATAATTTTCCCGTTTTCATTGCACTAGCTGAGAGTAACACGGGGAGGAAGATCAGGGCTCTAGCAGACTCCCTAACAGGGAAGCACAAGTCTGAGTGGCAAGGGATATTTTAATCTCTTAGAAAAGCCTGCAATTGAT